AAGGCGTGGTAAGCTGGGGGCTCTGTCTTTGCTGCCCAGAGCAGCACTGATCAGACCCAAAGCTCGGCTTCTTCTCAGTCTCATTTTTCTACCTTTCCTGTCATTCGCCGTGTGCTGCCGTGGCTCGCAGGAGACCAGGACTCACTGCAGAGGTTCTGGTAACGTCTCCTTCCCCTGCCCCCTACAGAGTAGCATTGGTTCAAAGTCTTTTAAATGGAGTCAGGAAGGCTAGTGCCCCAGCACTCGGAGGCTGAGGCAGGAGGATTGCTGTGAGTTGGAGGCCAGCCTGGGTTATGTAGTTTAAGGTCAGCCTAGACTACAAAGTAAAACCCTGTCTCAAAACAACAACAAATAAAATAAAATGGAGTCAAGAGGCCATTGTTTAATGGGATCTCAGACAGGATTGCCTCTGAAACTCTGACCCCAGGCTGCAGATACGCCCTGACCCCTCCTGCCAGTTGACCTATGACACGGGACTAACCTGGGCTGATCTCCGGTATGATGGACTCCTTCCCCAAACGAGACAGAGCCAGACCACACCCAGTCCTTCTTACAAAGCAGCCAGTCCCGATTGTAATTCCTAACACGTGATGCAACTGCCACCCCCTTGTGGTTTAAAGGCATAAATACGATGTCCACTTGGTAAAACCTCAGAGCCCCACATTTTCAAGACTGCTTGAATCTGCGTTTTCCTGGATTGCAATCCTAAGTAGCTCCCCAAAATGTAATTTTCTCCCTTCCCCACTAAGTTGATTTTTCTCGGTTGACGGTTGTGTGTGTCAATCCCTACCCAAAGTTTGGAATCGCTTTCTTCTCTTGTGATATGTATATATTTATAAATATCAATGTAGAAATTATATTTAACCCCGTCCCTTCACTGCAAACCACCGATAGCTAGGAATATGAGGCTTGTGTGTGGGATTTCAGGGCTAGCTCCGACTTCACCCTGACAAGGGCAATGTGAAGGGCTAGGAATAAGCTGAGTTTTTCTCCTGCTGAGAGGAAGCCTGATAATTTTTTATAAGCTATATTTTCAAGCTCTTAATTTCTAATCTTAGTACTCACCACCCAAACATTGAATGAATAGCTTTCTTCTTCCTCTGACATTTTCTAATAAAACTTTTTTTGGCAGTGCTGGGGATTGAACCGAAGGCCTTGTGTGTGGTAGACAAGTGCTCTACAACTGAAGTACATTCCAGCCTTTTTTATTTTTAAATTTTGAGACAGGCTCTCACTAAATTGTCCAGGCTGGCCTCTAACTTGGAGACCTTCCTGCCTCAGACTCCTGAGTAGCTGAGATCCTAGGCATGTGCCACCACATCTAGCTAATAAAAGTTGTTTTGTTTTGTTTGCAGTCCTGGGAACTGAACCCACAGCCTCATGTGTGCTAGGCAAGGGTTCTACCATTAAGCTACGTCCCCAGCCCAAAGCTGTTTTTTCTTTCTTTTTTTCTTTTTCTTTCGAGACAGGGTCTCGCTAGGTACTGCAGTCTGGCCTTGAACTCACTATGTAGCCCAGGCTGGCCTTGAACTTGTGGTGATCCTCCTGCTTCAGCCTCGCAGCTGCAGCACAGCCAGTTTGAACATGGTTGAAAAACCCTCCAACTTATTCCTACCAGAATTGTATTAGAGTTTCAGGTGCTCCACAGCCTTGTTAATATTTGGTATTGTTAGTGTTTGAAACTTTTGTCATTCTTAGGGTTGTGTATTTCATTGCATATCTTATTTGCAAAAAAAATCTGAAAAGGCAAATAGGCTTATTGGAAATTTCGTCTGTATTCTTTTTTTACCCCCTGCAATGGGGAATTGAACCCAGGGGGACTTTACCACTGAGCTACAACCCCAGCCCTATATTTTTTTTTCCAGTACCGGGGATCAAACTCAGGACCTTGAGCTTGTTAAGGCAGGAATGGCACCACTGAGCTAAATCCCCAGCCCCTGGAGACCTGTATATTTTGAGACAAGGTCTCACTAAATTTCGGATGGCTGACCTTGAACTTGTGATCCCTCTGCCTCAGCCTGGGGAGTAGCTGGGGCCTGAGGAATGCACCACCACACCAGATTTAAGATACTGTGGTGCCTTGGTATTTGTCACTAATTGATTCCAGCAGGTGCAAGGAGTACCAACAATGTCAAGTACCTAATTGTTCTGGCTGGAAAGGGTAGCAAGTCACAAGGTGATGGATGGGGACAAGTTCTAGCTTTTGTATTGAGCACCAACAAATGATATGAATTCTGGGACAAAATGTTTGTGTCAAAATACATAGAGTGGGGACTGGGGATTTAGCTCAGTGGTTCTGTCGCCTGTCTCGAAAGCTCAAGGACGCGAGTTCAATCCCCAGTACCCCCCTCCCCCAAATACACAGAGCACAAATTCAGTTTCAGACCAGCTGAGCGACAAGGTATGGCTGTACTCTCTGTGAAGTGTGTGCTGGTGTCTCGCTCATTGAACTATTGGGATATATAATAAAAGAGGAGGCCTTTACTGGACACTGAATATCTTCTCCAAGTCTGTAGCTTACCTTCTTGCTCTCTTTAGTAGGGGTTTTGTTGTTTTTCCCCTGTGGTGCTGGGCATTGAACCCAGGGCCTGGCACATTATTAGGCAAATGCTTTACCCTTGAGCCACATCTTCAGCCCTGTTTTGTTTTGTTTTTTAAGGGATACAGTTCCTGGAACAATTGTGTTCCCAAGCCTCTGAGTTCTATTTCAGACAGGTGAGATGTTATAGTAGGAAAATCCCAGTCAAGCTCAAACTCAGTTTCTCGTACTAGATCCTTGCAGCACAGATGACCTCTGACACTCGAGGTGTGGCTGTCCCCACACCAAACCTGCGAGCAGTTTTGTGGCAGACACCAGATGGTGTCCTCTAATTCAGTTCTGACACAATCTGCCTGGAGATGGGGTCAGATACCCAGGGGGAGGGTTCAGTTCTCAGGGCTGTGCCTTCGCAACCCTGCAAAGTCCAGGTCATTTTACCTTTCTTCTTTTTTTTTTTTTTCTGGTACTGGGGATCAAACTCGGGTCCTTGCGCTTGCACAGCAGGCGGCAAAACCACTGAGTTAAATCCCCAGCCCTTACCTTTCTTTCTTACCAACTGGCTATGCGTGGAGGTTTCCATGATTCCCTCCTCAAGTTTTATTAGTGTGCTTGGGCAGTTCACAGGACTAGGGAAACATGTTCCTGTACCCTAGCTCTTATAAAGGATATAAAAAGGATTCAGGTGAAGAGTTTTCATAACCTTTCCCAACATGTCACCCCACCCCACCCCAGGAGATGCCACACATCCAGCTAACCAGAAGCTCCCTATGCCATCCTTTTTAGTTTTTATGAAGACTTCCTTTCATATCTAATGCTAATAGGCTGAGTGGGGAAACCCAGCAAGGTCTGTTTATTCAGATTTCTCCTGAATGTTGGACAAGACCCCATTGTGTGTGTGTGTGTGTGTGTGTGTGTGTGTGTGTGAGAGAGAGAGAGAGAGAGGAGAGAGAGAGAGAGACTGGGTTTGAACCCAGGGCCTCATGTGCAGGGCAAGTGCTCTACTACTGAGCTCCAGCTCCAGCCCAAGACCCGTTGTGAAATAAGAGATCTTATTATCAACTGTCAGACAAAGGAGATGAGAGAAAGGCAGAGTTTCTGTGACCTGCTTAGCAGAAGAGAAATTCTAGTCTCTAGAGTCTGTCTGAGGGAGGGAGATACCAACCAGGAACTGTGGAAAAAACAACAAAAAAATGTATATTATAATCTCACAATGGGTGCGACAAGAATGTCTTTATTTGTATGCTCAATTTCCACATACTGAAAGTCAAACTGAAACTCTAAGTTGTTATGTGAAATTCTGAGAAATCAGGAAAGAAAATGTTAACAGCCAAAATTCGCTAATAGGCCAGTTTCAATGAGCACAACAATGAAGATCCCTCTGCTTTCATTTTTGTATTCTTTAATCCTCTAATCCTAAAAAAATCCTCTAATCCTTATGAAAAGTAACTTCAAGTAATCTGATAACATTTTATTTTATTTATTTATTTATTTTGCTGTACTGGGGCTCAAATTCAGGACCTTGGGCTTGCTAGGCAGGTGCGGAACCACTGAGCCACATCCCTGGCCCAATTAATCTGATTTATTTTTTCTTTCCTGTACCGGGGATCAAACTCAGAATCTTGTACTTGCGAAGCAGGCACACTGACCTAAATCACCAGCCATCCAAGTAATCTCACATTAAAAAGTGATTTTTGGGGGCCTGGGATTTAGCTCAGTGGTTTTGCCGCCTGCTGCACAAGCACAAGGACCCGAGTTCGATCCCCAGTACCAAAAGAAAAAAAGTTATTTTTCTATTGTTTTGTCTCTGTTTCCACCTAAAGTAACTTTTTATTTTTTGCTTCTGGTTTTATTTTGGGGTTTTTTTGTTTTGGTTTGATTTTTTTTTTTTGGTACCAGGGATCGAACTCAGGTTCTTGCGCTTGCACAACAGGCAGCAAAACCACTGAGCTAAATCTCCAGTCCCTGTTTTGTTTTGTTTTTTGAGACAGGGTCTCACTATGTCGCCCAGGCTGGCCTTGAACGTGAGGCAATCCTCCTGCCTCAGCCTCCCACTTCCCCTATTCTTTTAGATGTTTTCTTCCTATTTCACAATATCAATTATACATTTTGATCCTTATTTACACTTTTAGCTTTTCACACCAGAGAAGCTATTTGGTATTTACACGTGTGTCCTATTTATTTCATTTAAGAGTATGTGCTCAATGTGCATCCACTTAGCTGTAAATGTCTCTAGTTTCTCGTTCTTTATAGCTGAGTAGTACTCCATTTTATAAAAAAAAAAACACATCTTTATCCAGTTTCCAGTTGATGGGCACTTGGGCTGTTTCCAAGCTTTAGCTATCACAGACTGTGCTGCTATAAACATGGGTGTGCATATATCATTGTGGTATGATCTTTTAATTGTCTTAGGAAGATCCCCAGCAGAGGAATAGCTGGGTTAAATGGGACCTCTAATCCTAGTCTTTTGAGGTATCTCCATATTGATTTCCACAATGGTTGCACGAGTCTATACTTCCACCAACAATGGAGAAGGGTTCCTTTTTCCCCACACCCCCGCCAGCATTTGTTATTGGCTGATTTCTTGATAGCAGCCATTCTTTCTGGGGTGAGGGGGAATCTCAGTGTTGTTTTCATCTGCATCTCTCGAAAGACCAGTGATGTTGAACATTTTTTCATATGTTTATTTGCTGCTTTTACTTCTTTGTCTGAGAAATGTCTGTTCATTTCAGTGCCCACTTTTGAATTGGGTCTTTATATTTGGGGGGTCTGATTTTTTTAAATTCTTTATATAGTCTAGATAGTAGTCCTTTGTCTGAGGAACAGCTGGTAAAAATTTTTTCCCACATTGTAGGTTGTCTCTTAGCTCTGTTGGTGGTTTCTCTTTCAGTGCAGAAGCTTTTTAATAGGATGAGATCCCAGTTGTTGATTCTTTGTGCTAGTTCCTGTGCTACTGAGGATTTGTTCATAAAGTCTTTTCCTATCATGTGAATCTCTTTATGCAAAATACATTTAGTCCATCTGTAAGAGTTGTCACTGTCCTGCTAATGCTTGCATTGCTGAAAAGTCCAAGTCCAAAGTCTCCTCTGAGACTTAAGGCAAACTCTTAGCTGTGAGCCCTGTAATATCAAAGAGAAGTTCAACA